CACAAACATCTCAAAAACGAAAACATCGTTTTCATACAAACACTTTTCTGAAATATTTTCAAAAATAAACACCTTATATACGCTCTTAACGATACGAGAGTCATTACAGGGTTTTGCCTCACAATTGTCATTTTTAAAATATTTTCAAAAACACAAAGCATTTTCAAAGTGAGCTAGTGATTAAGAGCCCGTAGATAACTACAGATGAAAAAGGTGCTAACACCTTCCCTTTTCATAACCTACCCCCCGAACTCAATATAATCTCAAAGGTCGTTCTTGTTCTTTTCACCATTTCCTTATTGGATAAAAGAAAAGTCGATGACGACTCTTGTTATCTGCAACATTTGTGATAAAACGCTAAACCAAGTCAGTTCTCCCATTGTATTACACAAAGGAACGAGACAATCACAACACTTCCAACAAGTCAAAATACTCAGGGTCACACGATTTGTTCAAAAAGAAAAATGAATGAAAAATAAAAAAAGAAAAAGAAAAAAGAAAGCCCTCTAAGTCAAAAACTTGAAAACAAATGACTTAGGGAAAAGTTAGGGCATCCTGCTGGACTATGAATTCAAAAAAAATCGGTCCAAGTAAAAATTAGGGAAACAAAAAAGAAAAAGAAAAGCTTGAAAAATGAAAAGAAAGGACTACAAAGCAAAAATCCTCAGCAAAGAACAAAGTCGCATGATCAAACACCAAGAACAAAAGGTGAGTGGCTTCTATGTCCAAAAACCTCATTGATTCCTCAACCATCTCAAACTCCTCTTGAGAGATGAGTGCTTGGGTCGAGTTAATTGAACATAGGACTAGAGAACATCAAGGAGAATGGGTGGTAAAAATAAACTTTGAGCCTTAAATCCTTTTTTCTGAAACCGTGAACCAGACCATGTTACAACCCTTAAAAGTTCTAACTGAAGCATGGGTCACTTCGAAATAACATTGTAACGAGAGTATGGTAAAATGACTCCTAGTAGACTTGCTAAAACATTTGAGTTGGTATCGCACCACCTTTCATACAAAGAAATCGATGTTATGACATTATTTCAATAAAAAAATCTTTAAACTTCAAGACAAACATAAACTTTGCATTATAACTATTTCTCATAATAAACATTCTTTGCATATAAACATGTGCTTGACATTAAGGAAGCTTTAATAATGTGCATTAGATGAAGAATTTAATCGTCCCAAGGGATAAGTTGTCTTCAAACCTCTGTTGAGTAGGGGAAAAAGTATCTCAAAGTTTGATTATCCTAAGGGACGGAGAAGCAATTGAATACTCTGTTCAGTCAATCTGGGGAAATCACCTCAAGATTTGAAGAATCTCTAAAAGTGTTGAGTAATCAGTGACAATCACCCAAGAATCTCCAACATTGGTTAGTCATGGGCGGTGTTTGAAAGTTCACAATAATGGGGCGAACTATCTATGACGACACAAATCTCAGGAAGTCCTCTCAAAGAAAATTTCTTCAAAGGCCCTACAGGCTGGGGCAAGGCAATATGCAGGGGAATTTCTTCCTCTTTAAGAGTTGATCAGGTTAAGTCCATGCGCAAGCTAAACAAGTTGTGAGTTCAAAGTGAATGTCTAGAAGTCATGATCATTATCCTCATTTGAAATCAGTGATTTAAGTCCAAATTATTGGTATTCCGCAGCAGAAGTCAGGACTCTATCATTTGAGCTCCCATCAGATATCCAACTTTGCTTCGGCAATCTGCATATAGTAATCATCATTATATTTCATTACATCATCCAAAACGCGTAGCATTTCCATTGATATGAAGTATTACGCTAAAAAATATCAAATATGCATTGAAGTATAAGCCAGATTCAGAGTCTTTCTCGAAAGCACCCTTTGCATCCCTAGTTAGGTTGGCGGAACTTCTCAGGAGAGAACTTTATCCCTCAAAAATCCCAAGTGGTATTCCCCGCAGGTTTTCCTCAAATAATATCTTGTTGTTGTTGTTTTCTATAAACATTTTTAACCTTGTGTCAGTCTCCATAAATCGGAAATCTGATTCCTATACCAAGCATCTTGCTTTTAGAAAAAACTATTTTGTACTTACCTTTTGTAAGTCTCCTTCTTGCCTTTTGTAAGTTTTCGTTGGTTTTTTACCTGTATTTTCCTTTTGCAGTTAGAGTGCAAGTAAAAGTTGGTTTATAACCTTTCTTGCTTCTCAATTATTTGAATAACCCTACTTTGTGTTTTGGGAGTTCATATGGCTGCCACTCTTGAAGAATTACACCCTGCTTCGGCCCAAGGGATAATTTAGTTCTTTTTTCCCTTTTGCAGGTACCCAAATCCTTCACCTACCTTTTGTAAGTCGGTCCCTTTACTGCCTTTTTCATAAATGATGTCTCTTTACTTTTGCACGAGAAAGTTACTTGTTTATTTTCTCTCTGCAGTTAGAGTGAGTAGAGAGAGTTGGTATATAACATGTCTTTCTTCTCAGTTGTTTGAACCTCCCTACCTTGTGTGTGGCAGTTCAAATAATTACCACTCTTGAAGAATTACACCCCACTTCAGCCTGAGGGATAATGTAGTTCTTTTGCCTTTTGCAAATACCCAGTAACCATCTTGAACCCCAAGTTCGATTGGTAACCTTTTAAAGCCCAACTTCGGTTGGTTATATTCTTGAAACCCAACTTCAGTTGGTAACCTTTTTTAACTCAACTTCGGTTAGTAATCCTTTAAAGTCCACCTACGGTTGGCAATTTTATTTTAAGTCCACCTTTGGCTGGCACCTTTCTTTCAATGTCATTCTTTTTCTTTTTGCAAGTACTCGTTTCCAACCCCCGAGTTGTTATTGCTCGTCTCCTGACCCCTGAGTCATTGTTTTCAACCTCTGAGTTATGATTTGTTTATTCTCTGACCCCTTAGTCATGGTTTCTAACCCCTGAGTTATGAATGTTTCATTCTAATCTCCAAGTTGTGATTTGCCTAGTTTTTAACCCCTGAGTTGTGAGTCGTGGTTTCTAACCTTCGAGTTTTGATTTTTTTTTCAACCTCCGAGTTGATTGGTTTATTCTCCAACCTCTGAGTCGTAGTTTTCAACCCCTAAGTTGTGAATGTTTCTTTCCAACCTTTGAGTTGTGATTTTCTTGTCTCCTCCCTGAGTCGTGGTTTCTAACCTTCGAGTTGTGATTTGTTTTTTCTCCGAACCCTAAGTCGTAGTTTCCAACCCTTGAGTTGTGAATGTTTCTTTCCAACATTTGAGTTGTGAATGTTTCTTTTCTCTCGACCCCTAAGTTGTGGTTTCCAACCCTTAAGTTGTGAATGTTTCTTTTCCAACCCATGAGTTGTGAATTTTTCTTTCCGACCCTTAAGTTGTGGTTTCCAACCTCTAGGTTATGACTTATTTGTTCTTTGACCCTTGAGTCGTGGTTTCCAACCCCTGAGTTGATTGGTTTGTTTTCTGACCCCTGAGTCGTAATTTCCAACGCCCGAGTTATGACTTACTTATCTTTTGACCCCTAAGTCGTGGTTTTCAACCCCTGAGCTGTAGATGTTTATCATGTACTCCCCAACACATGTTTTTCAATGTCAGGTTATCTCCACTGATGTCTTTCATTCGTGAATCTCCATAATGTTTGTTCTCTGCCTTGTGTACGAGAAGTCTTATTCCCCAGTGGAGTCTGTATTCACCTTTTACAAGAACGCTTGGTTAAGCATCCTTCCCATCTTTCATTTTCCTTTTGAAGATTTGTAACACAATTTCTCTTTCCTTTATGAAAATACTTCGGGAATATCATTTTTATACCTGCCAAAACTTGATTAAGTGGAGGCCCATACACAAAAACAATACATCATCCATCTGTTCCTCGGAGCGTAAATTTTCTGGTTCTTTTGGTATTTAATCTTCTTCTACCTTGAATGTTCGAAAGGCTAGCGGCAATTTCACCTTCAAGTTCAAGATGATTAAATATAAACAGTTGTTGTACCACAAAATTTGCCCTCCTGATTTTACTTTTTATATGGCTTATGTTTCTCATTTCATTTGCATACTTCATTAGGTCATTTGCATAACATGCGTTCATTCAATAAGACACCTTGGTTCAAAAGGATCAATGGTCATACAAACTAGAGTTTGACGTGTACATATCAAATAATATTGATTTCTCTAGTTCTTCCTTGAGCATTTGACTATGGGATTAGAATTTTGAAGTATTGTTATCATGAATCTCTTATTTCTCTTCAAGCTACAAGGATTATCTTTCCATCAATATTCATCAAGATCAGTAGAATTAGAGTTGGGTCATTCATCTGAGGATTTTTTTGAGGCTTGTGAATCAAGTTGTATCTTCTTATGGTTATGCTTACTAAGTGGTCAAGACTTGGTGAATTGAACTTTCATCAATTCAAGGTGTATGGGTCAAAATCTTTATGCAAGAAAAGGATTGAAGTATCACATGTCTATCATCCATCAAACTACGGTTCCATCCTTAATTCTTCCATCGGTGGTTGCTTCAAGTATGAGGAATTGTGGATTTAAAGTTCAAACTTGATATAGGGTTTCATTAAGAGTTCAAACATGGCTTTAAGTTGACTTTTGATCCAATTCTTTGTGGATATATTTTTGTGGCATTTTCAAACATCAAGCATAGCATGAAAGTGTATTGGGTGCATTTTCTTATGGAGAACAAACATTGATTCAAGGGCTAATATGTTATGGATTCAATATTGCATGATTCAAAATTCATAAGTATTTGTTCATGGATTCTTTATGGTATCAAAAGATTAAAGCATCTAAGAGAACTTCAAAAGCATTAAACAAGATATGGAATGGCTTAATTTAAACACCATTCAAAAGTGATAATTATAAAAAAAAAAGTTCTTGATGAAATGGAAAATGAAGCATATTCAAGCTAGATTCATTCAATGGCATTCTAAGCAAACAAAGTACATCAGGCATTGCTATTTCAAGTAGAATCATTATATTTCCTCAAGGATTACAAGCCCACTTCATATCGACTTCTATGTTGCTCCATGGCCAAAGAGGTCTTAAGGATTTCCAAAAATGACATGCTTCCTCCATGTGCCAATTCTCAACAAGCCATATGGGATCTTGTATAAGCACGCAAAATAGAAACAGAACACCATATCCTTTAGCATTCCAGAAACCAAAACCGTCCGGTTCCTTGCAAAATCTGCTATTGTCCTACACCATGTCTGAATAAGACCAACGCAAGACAAGCCCTGCATAAAATCCAAAACCAGTTAAACTTGTATACTAAACTAGTCCGGTTCAAAAAACCAAAACAATACACTAACCATGTCCAGCTCGCAATAATACCTCATTTCATCCCAGACTTCACAATTCAGAATCAACCATAAACCGATTCCTGCATCAATTAATAAAACAATTTACATTGAACTAATTTCCAGCTCAGAAAAATAAGAGAAAACTTTCAGAGCAAGCTTTCAATTAGAATCAATATCTACCTTTCAATTTTGTAACAAACTCTTTGATCCAAAGTCCAAGAATGCTTCATCTGTAACAAACTCTACAAACTTCATCATCCCTATATCAGCTTCATTTCTAGAAAATCATGATCATTCTTCAATTTTTGGAGAATCACCACAACCTCCATCTTCATCTTCTCCCTGCTCACTCTCCATAATCACACTTCAAACCTTCGACATCATCATCAATCACTGCACCTTATTTCAACAACCTTCAACATCCTCAATCTTTAATCAACCGCACCACTACAATTCTGAAACATCCTCAATCTGCATCTTCAACAGAACAACTTCTACAACAACATCAAATCAACAACAATCATCACTCTCTCTTGTTTCTGCAACTTCCTCGCCTCTGCAACACACAACAACCTCCTCACTGCAACTTCAACGTGAACAACAACAATATTCATCTTCCTCTCTGCAATAACATCAACGCAACAATCTTTAAAATAACGCAACAGCGACAAACACCGAAAACATAGAAGCAGAAAATAAGCAGAAGAAGAGGATTGAATTAAAAAGCAAAGTGACGCATACCTCTGTCTCTCTGGTTTTCTCGTCATCTTTATCACGGTTGAAGATGCACCGGACGAACTCCGGTAGTTAAGCCTTAAAATCCTTCGTCTTTTCCATATTTTTGTGCGACTTGAAGCATGAAGATCCAAATTGTGAATCTGTAGCATGCGGTGTGCATTGTTCTGTTTTGTTTTCTTTCTGCAATTTCTGTTTAGATAGAAGAAGGAGGTTGAATCGAAGAAGAGATGAGAGGAGAGGTACATAAATGGAAAAAAGAGAACACAGTTGTTCATGGTGTGGTGGCCGGACATAGTCGCCATGACATTAGGATGAGAAGAGCGGCGTATTCGTTGAAGAAGAAGAGCGGCGGATGAGTTTGGAGAGGGAGGAGAGTTGATTTCAAAAAGAGACAGAATGTCACAATGTAACCCTAGCCACTTGAAACACACAATTTTCTTGTTTTTTCATTTTTCTTTATTTGTTTTTTTTTATGAATAATAATGTTGAATAAATAATAGATTTAATTAGAACTTTGTTCCCCCTATTTAATCTTTTTCTTGATTTTGATCTCCCACTTTAAAAATCACTAAAAATATGTATGTGTTATCAAGAAAACTTCAAATTCTCAAGAGTAATTTAAAGATAATACAACTGTTATGCATCAAGTTATGTCTAGTATTTTTTCATGGATTACATATATTTGTTTTAACTATTTAACAAAGAAACATCCATAACTTAGTGATTGGGTGTCTCTTTCTAAAGTTAATGAGCTTGGGTTCAAATCTTGTTGGGATTATGGGGTGTTAAATTCAAACCCAAAAATTGTGATTTTTAAAATGAAGAGATTAAAATCAAGAAAAAGGTTAAATATGGAGATCAAAGTTGCAATTAACCCTAAATAATAAGATCTGATGGTGTGATGACTGTTTGGACCAAGTATGTGAATGGCTTTGGACTTTAGCGCATGCACCCTTTGGAAGCCCACACACCATTTTTAAACACCCCTGGAGAGCCTTGGACAAAAAACCTCCAAGACCCTTGTTGAGTGGGCTTAGCGCCCGGGCCTTATTTCTCTTCACGCCTTAGCTCAATTTTGCACCTCTTAAGCCTTTTTTTTCTTTTAATTCTTGTTTGCTTTATTTTTAATCAATTATTTGTGAGTTTTTCCATGATTTTTTATTAATATTTCTTTACATGATAAAATGATTAAAAAAATAATAGAATGTTATTTCTTTATTTTTTTATTAATTGTTTGTATGTTTTCCCATGCTCTCTTAGGGTTTTTCTTGATTCAATTTTATATTTGATAAAATTTGAATTAAGAATAGACATTAGGTTAGAATTCATGCATGATAACATTTAGGTTAGTTTTTCTCTTTTAAAACTCAATTATAAGGCCATTGATGCATGACAATAATTAGGGTTGAGATCTCTTGTGCATTTGTTTCTTTTGCATATCATTCCTCTTTTCTTTTAAAGGACAATAATCATTTAATTAATCAAATTCAAAAATACCGTAATAAATATGATACGTATAATATGCCACGAGCCTTAAGTACATGGGGAAAGATAAGCGAGAATCTCCTTTACCTCTTCTTAGAGTATTTTGTACATGAGACACTTGGCTCATACGTACAAATTATTCACTCTCATGTCATATACTTTAGTATAATACGTATCTCAATCTCTTTTCAAAACTAAAGGAGAATATACTCAAATACCCCCAGTCTTGAGGGACCATTTGATGTATCTCCTAACAAAACACTTCAAGACATTGAAACCTTTCTGCATTTGGGTTTCTTTTTTCTTTAAAACCTTTTCAGAAAGGGCATGTTAATTCCAGTCTACGCGATACAACAATGCATAAGTCTCCAAAGGCCGAGTGGCAATGTTAATTGCTAGAATGCAAACTGAAAGCTCTAAAGATTTGACTAATTTTGGTAAAACTAGTTGGTAAACAAGAATGTTAATATATGTGAAGATCAGCATGTCAAACAAAGAAGTTTTATCATCAGAAGCAATATGTCGGACAAGATGTCCTATGAAGAGCTATTCAACATCACGCATGTGACCAGTTGGACCATTGGATTTAATTGATATATTTCATATGCAAAATATTATGGAATATTGTGTAATCCTATGTGGCACACAGTTTGAATATTATAGAGATTCAAGCTAAAATCAAGGAGTTAAATTAGTTTCTAATTATGGAGATAAATTAGGGAACTAATTATTGAAGTCTTATGATTTAAGAGATATTTGTTCTACCTCGTCTGCAACAGGTCAATAGTAATTTTAAGCCCAAGTCCAATACATTGAATATTATAAAAGGAAGACTTACTTAGGGCTTGATAACAAAACCATGTGTAACAAACTTAGAAAGAAAAAAAGGGTTTAGGGTTTTGAAATTCGTGGACTTTCTTGAGTTGTAAGTCACCCTTTGTATCGGTTTGATACAATATGGTGAACATAGTTTTATGTAGATTCAAAAGCCTTTAGGTAAAGGATCTTGTATTGTTCTTTGATGAAGCTTTGAAGCAAATCCAAGTATGGTTATTAGTCAAGAGTCTTGATTGAATAAGTTATAATTGATATAGATATCACTGGGGTGATTTAGGAAGTGGGATGTCGATTTCTCATATTTAGGATGTTCCTAGGTAGAAGTTGCATTGGGTAGGGATTAGGCAAGAAGTTGTAAATGGTGGAGTTTAGCTTTGAACTAATACTATTTATAGTGGACTTCCTTCCTGGCTTGATAGCTCTAGAGTAGGTGTGTGTCCACCGAACTGGGTCATCATATTTGTGTGTTTTTATCTTTATGCTTTGTTCAGTTTTGTTTTTTATTGATTGACATGTCGTATAACAGATGGTGGAACACATGTTACGATTTTGAACTAATGAGGTTTGTATCAGTCTGTTACGTTCTGTCCATGTGTGATTATGCAGAGCTCAATGTCTCAACATGTGTTAGGACATTTGTAATTTGTATATCAGAATTTCGCGAACTTATAACGTCCATAAAAACAACCAACAAACAAAAAAATTCAACAAGAACTACAGAGTTATGATTCCCTTTAGGATACGTAGGCACTGTATTACAAAATCTGGACATACTCAAAAATAAAAACCTTTTCGTTTTCCAATTAATTCATTCATGCATTTTTAACAGGTTTAGCTTTAGATATACACACCCCTTTGATTAGAACAACCAAAGTGGATCCCGTTGAGTACAACAGATGTGAAGGGTGTTAATACATTAATCGGTTAAATGTTTATTTCACTTATGCTATTGTTGATGGACTTGTACTTAATCGCATTGATTCATCCCCATTCCATAGTTTGTACCCCCATTCCCATAGACGTGTAATTAATTCTACTACTTTCCTTTTGCTTTTACTTTACTTGTCCACTATTGCATATAAAATGAATCAAACCCTAAGCATTCTCGGTCCATATATCAAGCCATAACAAAAACTTGCAACTAGATCGCCTTGTGCATCACATTAATCACCCCAAAGTATCTTGATGTACATATAAATCCATATCCAAAACTTGTAAGTCGATTGCCTTGTACATCATAATCAACCTTTCATGTTCACTTTAAAACATTTTCATAATCAAAGCTTCAATCCTCGATCCAACGTCAAGTTGATTTTTTTCAAAACATTTTCATAATAAACTTGGATGCGAAAAAGGTTAGTTGAGTGCAATTTCTCCCCCAACTCTGAGTTATTAGATCGTTGGTTGTCAGACCAATTTTCTACGACTTGTCCTCCAATGTATAATGAATCTAATAAGCATGAACCTTGTATCACTTCACCTTTTCATAAAAAACTTTTGGTTTGAGAGAAGATTGGTTGAACTTCATTGCTCCTCCAATTTCTAGTATTTGAATTGTAGGATGTTTAGATCTATTGTTTAGTACTTGTCACCCACATAAAAACAAGTTCAACTTGTTGTACCTCAAAATTTACCCTCTTTATTTCGACTTTATTTTGGCTTATATTGCATTATCATATACATATATGCATATCATTAGCCGTGTTGTTATGGGATCAGGGTATTTCTGTTTGACTGTTTACTGGAGGCGCTCAGAGATTTATGCGAGTCAACCAGGTGGTGAATGAAAATTCCTTATCATGACTAATTCCAACGTATTCTATCATCTCTTCAGTGGTAGAGGTGAGCCAGAGTTTTTATCTGATTTGAGACAGTTCAAGTTGAAAGTCCGTTTCGGCGTGACAAGCTTCTGAATTTCCTAACTCCAAGCCAGAGTATTATTTTGAGCTTATATTTTATCACCTGGTCCGTGTGGATATTACCTTCATTTTTCGTGTTTGGTCCAAGAGCTAATTGTGCACTTAAGATGGTCGAATAATTTTGTTATTGAGTTCTCAGGTTACCGATCAACGGTATTTCTGGTGTTCAGAAATTTATAACTTCGATCTGGTCTACCACCTCGAGGTGTTCCTTTTCCATTAAATCTGCCTCAATATTCTCCCCAACTTCTGTATTCGGGCCGAAGGTTTTTTCTCGAGGGATGGTCTCCGAATGCGCAAATATGTCAGAGTTTAAACAATGTAAAATACTGGTAAAGGTTGGTTGAACCGCTGTTTCAGGCACATTAAAAAATTCATAACTCCCATATGGAGTTCTGTATGAGCTTGATTTTGGTTCCCAAAATTTCGTCTCGATGTTATCTTAACGCTGTCTTTTATGACCAAGAGCTGATTCTACATGAAAAGTGGTGGGAATTTCGAGTTCCTGAAAAATAATTGAGCAGAATCTGGAATCTGTCAGGTTGACTTCCAATATTCAAAAATTCATAACTCACTCAATTTTTACCGCATCGCGTCGGTTCTTGAAGAATTGGTTCATGAATCTCATCTAATTCAAATTTGTTTCATAGTTCAGAATCAAACGGTAGCTCGAGGGCCTCTGTTATTGGTTTATTTTGCAAAATGAAGTTTTTGGGATCTGTAAAAAGATTGAATGTTGCACCACTGGAAAATTCATAAGAAATTCATCGTTTATTAGATGGTTCTCATTTTTTGACACTATATTAAGGTGTGGAGATCAATAATTCTTATGGAAAAGTCAAGACGAGATTCTAATTTTTGGGGCACGAGATTGTGACTTGTTCGAGTAGCAGAGGTCAAATAAGCTGATATTTTGACTTAATTAATTTTTGACAGTGACGTCTCACTGCTTAAACATATCGAACTCACTCATATTTTGTCAGAAGGCGTCAGTTCTTTTTGGGTTGCGTCCGTGACTCAGAAGCGAACAATTTCACAGGAGGCTCGGGTTCGGAAAGTTTTACAGATCATATTTTAATTTTAAGGGCACATAAGTTAGAGAATACTCTATTAATGCTAAAGCCCATTTACCGATTCGACTATGTAAAATCGGTTTGGATAACATGTGCTTAATAATATCGAAATGAGAAGATACATACACATCAACAAGCTTTATATATTTCTTTGA